TTTGGATCTTCCAAATCATTCCCGCAGGAGATCCAGACCCATTTTTTTATGATTCTTCGATAAAAAATTCATTCTCTGCATAAAAAATAGGAGGTAGAAGCAATAAAGATTTCTTTTTCGATTCACCCCTGGAGTTGAATACCTCATTCAAGAATTGTTTTTGATCCAATCCGTAAGAATCAATAAAAAAGGTAAATCCCTTATGATACACCAGATCCAACTTGGTTATTGATAGAGTGAATAGATCTGCCATTTCTTGAAATCTCTCTTCTAATTCAAAATCGTGATGTAACGTGTATCCCCCCCGTTCCGATCATGGAATAGATGAACAAAATCGTGGTGTAACGTGTATCCCCTCCTGTTCTGGTCATGGAATAGATGAAATAAATCAAAAAATGGATTTTTGTTCAAGAATGAAATCTTATTGGAACTGCCCAGTTCATCCTTCGGAACCATATCACATCCCGGATCTGATGAAATAGGATGAATTGAGACGGTATTTTGTAAATACGTAATTATCTTGAATATATTAACTATTTCTTTATTTTCCGATCGCCTGGAAGGGACAAAAGAAACATCTTGTTCTTTCTTCAACAATTTCTGATCTCTAGTGGACCTCTCAGTAGGGTTCGAACCCAGATGAAGTTCTGACCATCTATCAGAGAAAAAAGAACGAATGGATCTTGTAGGATTCCCAAGAAATTCTTCGATTTCTTCCGGAAGCAGATGATTATTCATCCGCTTCTCACGTTCCGTGAATAGCCGGGACATTGAGGAATATCCAGAAAGGCACTTAGGGAATCGGTCTGATTCTATCTCCGTTCGTTCCGTTTGAAGAAAGGAAGGATCCCAAAGAATCGATCTTTCTTTTAGTTGTTGAATCTCTCTTTGATTGATCAATGTGTGATATTCCGAATCCTCATTACTAATGGAATCGAAACGATCTCTGGATTGATCAGAAGATCCTTTCAATTGGCGAGAATCCGTTACTTGAACGAAACTAGATCTTGTGGAATCATATTGAATATTTGACGATACATTCCGTACCTTGCTAAAAAATCGATCCCTGTTTACCAACCATACATTGTCTAACCAAATCCAATTCTCTCTCGATATGTTCCTCAAAAAATCCGATTCGTGTGGATTCTTCCCCCAACTAACGAAGAGATCTTGGCGGAATTGCCACATATGAAATTGAGCACAATTTTGCAAAGAAATAGCCCACTTGCCTCTCGAGAAGAGATGGGAAACATGCTCAATATCATTTGATTGAATAGTTGACCCAGCTCCTTGTTGTTTGAAGAAACCCTCCACTTCAATTGGTATTTTTTCACGAAAAGCAAACATGAGATAACAAATCCAGTCTTTCACTAAGATTTCGAATAGCTGTCCCGAGTTCAAGTTGATTATGTTTCGCCTCTTACTCGGAGAAAGACGATCAAACAATTCCCAATCATGGTCCTTGCGGATCGAATCATCCATATAATATACAAAAAGAAACTCCAGATATTTGATATCTTTCTCTTTGAATGAGATCTCAATTCCAGCGACTTGAATGAGAATCTCTAGATTCCAGCGACGGGTTTTCATTAGATACTTACAACTAGAATCCCTCTTTTTCCCGATCCAGTTCCCCCACTCACCGCGAACCCCAGTTAAGATTCAGAATTTTTAGTTATGGGAGAACCAAGTACTCTCTTTCGGATCCAGATAAGAGCCTCATGAGATCCTGTTTTTCCTTTTTGGAAGATACAGGACGAAACTAATCAACCTAATTGAATATTGGAAGACCCAAAGGATTCTTCAATGTATCATTTCTGGGGTCCAATGGATATCAATCGGTATAGGAAAGAAGCTGGTCGAAATAGAGAATTTTTTTTCTGTTCGACCAATCTTTCGATGTTATGGACGATATATAAGAATTTTATTTACCTGGGTGCATTGTGTTTTCAAAAGCTTTCTGTCGAACTGGCTTCTATTTTAATCTGTGTTGGACTGATCGATATACCAATAATAAAGTTTTCAGTCAACTGGTGGAATACATTGCATCAACCTGGGAGTATTAGCCGATTTGGTACATCAATACATGTTTCTATGCTCATTCCAATCTTGTCTAACTTTGCTAACTTCCTCTTCTTTACCTGTATTTTGTTCGTTCTGGAAACACGTCTTCTTATTCTATCTTGGCTCGGCCAGGTTAACGAGGAAAGGGGGATTGGGCTAAGCCATTAGAGTAAGAACAAACAGAGGAACCCGACCGGGCGAATGCTCTTGCTTTTTAGACTTCCTTAGTAGGGATTCATAGCCAAACGAAAGGGAGATAAGCTTATGACCCTTCATCACTTTTCTTATGTTACGACCACCCCATCTTTATAAGAAGTAAAGATCGGTCAATCAATAGCTAAAGCGGGAGATTCCGGGAAGACTTCCTCACACGAGAATCAGAAAGATTTTTTCAAGTTTGAAGTTGTTCATTTGGAATATGGGCTCTTTTACTTCA